AGGCGAGCCAGAGGCCGCACTGGATAAAGTTGAGGAGGAGGGGCAGGTCGCGCGGGTCGTGGAGCAGGCGGTGCGCCAGCGCGCGCTCCACGCCGCGCGGCAGCCTCACGATCGCCTCCGCGCGCCGGCCGTAGAGGTCGCACAGCGCCAGCTCCACCGCTCGCCGGTGGTGCGGCTTGGCGGCGGCAAGGAGCTCCCGCGCGTGCTCGGCGGGGTCCGGGTCGAGCAGGCCCATGCCCGGCTCAGCACCATACGAGGAGAGGTCAGGGAAGAGAAGGTGGCGCACGGTGCGGAGCATTGGGTGGTGCCGCTCCTGTCGGCGATAAGGAGGGAAGGTGCTTGCGGGCGTTCTTTCTTTCTTTTTACGCGACGAACGGCGTCCGAGCATGCTGCCGCAATTTCTTCTGCAGATCTCTGTGTGTGTGGCCCGGCCTCAGCTGCCCGGCCTCTCCCGCCATGCCGCCTCCGCCCGTGCAGCCGCGCGAGCCGCCCGCCGCCCCCTCCTCGGCGGCGGGCCCTCCGTCGCCCGAGTTCATGTGGTGCCAGCGTTCGGACCGGGTCTACGTCACCATCAAGGTGGCCGACTGCGTCCGGGCGGCTGTGCACGTCAACGATGGCGAGCTCAGCTTCAGCGGCCACGGCCACGGCGCGCGCGGCACGCGCGACTACGCGCTCTCGCTGCGGCTGGCCGGCGCGGTCGTTCCCTCCCGCTGCTGCTGGTTCGTGTGCGGCCCGTCGGTGCGCGTGCGTCTCGAGAAGGAGGCGGCGGGACCATACTGGGACAGCCTGATGGTTGGCGTCAAGCCGCCGCAGTGCAAGATCGACTGGCAGTCCTGGATCGACGAGGACGAGGAGTGCGAGGTGTCCGCGGCGCCGAGCGGCTTCGAGGCGAACGACCTCCAGATGCAGATGGTCGGCCAGTCGATTGAGTTTTACCGCGACGAGAGCCGGCTGACCTCGTCTGAGGAGGCGCGGCGGACCGCAGCCGCGCCCCGCGCCCGTCCCGCCTCTCACGCACCGCCCTCTCGCCGCGCC